ACAAGGGTAAAACTCAGAACAAGGGAGCATGTGGGTGGGGCTGAATTGTGGGTGTGTCATGGGGGTGGAGCCTGGGGTGGGGCATATTATAGGGAGGGGCTAAATTGTGGGCATGCTATGGGGGAGGAGCCTGTGTTATGGGCGTGTCCTGGGTGGCACCTGGGCTGTTGCTGTGCCAGAGAGGGTGGGGCCTTTTCTGGGGGCGGAGCCTTATTGTGGGCGTGTCCTGGGTGGTGCCTGGGCTGTTGCCCTATCAGAGAGGGTGGGGCTGGGTAGTGGGCGTGTCATTAGGGTGGGACCTGAGTGGTGGAAATGTCAAAACCTTAGGCTACTTCATGGGGGCGGAGACTCACGTAATTGGACGCCCACCAAGCCTTGAGGTGCAGGTACCACTGCAGAAGCGAGGCCTGCAGCCTGAGAAATTCCTGCGCTAGGACCGCGGTCCAGTTGAAGTCCTCGTCAGACAAGACTGGCCGGACTGACTCCAAGTACTGATGGGGGTGGACAGAAGGAGCAGGTCACGGCCTGGCCGCCCGAACCCCTCTGCCCACACCCCGGGTGCCAGGCCCACCTTGCGCACGGTCTCCTGGACGCAGGGCACAGGCTGGCGCGGCAGCGAGCGCTGGTAACTGAAGAGCATAGGGTGGCGGCCGGAGAAGATGCGGACCAGGGCCTGAAGGGAAAGTTGTGGTATCCTCACATCTGGGGTCACTGATCCCCTCCTGGGGCCCAGGATTGGTGAGACCACCCTGACAGAATAGGACAGAGACCAAAGAGAAGGACAGAAAAGACTGGGGTAGGGGTGGGGGACAGAGACCCCAAGTGACAGGAGACCCCAAGATTGAGGAGGTGAGGGAGACACAGAGAGAAGGGGACACACCCAAGGTGGGTGGGTGAGAGGTTAAAATACATTCAAAGTGAGAGGGAGGGGACAGAGACCTAGGGAGGGGGACAGAGACCAGAGAGAGGGGGACAGAGACAGAGACAGAGAGAGAGAGAGATATCTGGAGTAGGGGAGACAGAGACCTGGTGGTGTAGAAACCCAGAAAGAGAAGGGGACACAGACCCAGAGACAAGAAGAGAGAGGTGGGTCCCTGGAGGGCCTGAGCAGGCTCTGCCTTCCATACCAGCCAGGTCTTGGTGGGCGAGGACATGGTGCCGTGGGGCTCAAGGAGCCAGCCGTGGTAGGACAGAAGCAGCCTCAGGGCCACGTGAAGCGTGAAGATCAGGGCTCCCCACAGACAGGAGGCGAACAGTGCAGCCGCCAGGGCCCCCCGAAGCCTGTGGTGCTGCCCAGCCCTGGGGGAAGAAGGGGTGCTGGGTCTCCTGCCTCAGCACTCCCTCCCTGCAGCCCCCGTGTTCCCGAAGTCCCACGGCCCTGGGCTGTAGGAGGCAGATCTGACTGTAGAACTGGAACCAGTCAACAGTTTCCTTTCATATAAAGTAGGTATATGATCCTCCTGCTCCCCCAGGATTGTGGGGACCCTCATCTCCTAAAACCACTTCCCCAAGAGCTTGGTCGGTGTTCAAAGAATGGAAGCCACCATTTGTGA